ACTTACTAACCATACCTCCTAACTTCACATCCAAATCATTTATATAAGTGACGAAAAGCAGTGGACCCAGCACCGATCATTGTGGCACACCAGTGGTCACAGGCCTCCAGTCTGAAAAGCAACCCCTCCTCCCTTTGTCTTCTACCTTCAAGGTAGTTCTGTATCCAAATGGCTAGTTCTCCTTGTATTCCACATGATCTAACTTTGCTAACCAATCTACCATGAGGAACCTTGTTGAACACCTTACTGAAGTCCATATAGATCACACCCACCTTTCTGCCCTCAATCCTCTTCGTTACTGCTTCAAAAGACTCAATCAAGTTAGTGAGACATGATTTCCAACGCACAAAGCCATGTTGACTATCCCTAATCAGTCCTTGCCTTTCCAATTACATGTAAGTCCTGTCCCTCAGGATTCTCTCCAACAACTTGCCCATCACCACTGTCAGGCACACTGGTCTACAGTTCCCTGGCTTTTCCTTACTACCTTACTTAAAAAGCGGCACATTAGCCAACCTCCAGGTCTTCCAGCACCTCACTTGTGGCTATCTATGATATAAATACCTCAGCAAGGGGCCCACCAATCACTTGCCTAGCTTTCCATGGAGTTCTGGGGTACACCTGATCAGGTCCTGGGGATAGGCTGAGATGGATACATTCTTGATCAGTAGGGGAATCAATAGTTATGAGGAAAGGGTGGGAAAGTGAACGAGGAATTTTGGATCAGCCATGAGCCTACTGAATGGTGGAGCAAGCTCGAGGGGCCAAACAGCCTTCTCCTGTTCCTTATGGTTTTATGGTCTTATAGAGTCACACGTAGCCCACAGCGGGTAAGGACAACAGATTTACTTTCCAGTTGTATCATGGTTATAGTCCAACAGGTTTATTTGAAATCACAAGCTTTCAGAGTGTAGCCCCTTTGTCATGTGCAGTGAGAAGTGGGCACACAGACACAGTTTATAGAGAGATGAAGGGCAGAGAGCTCAAAGGATCATACAACTAGTGTGATTGAAGTGAACAAACCTAAAATGGCTGACTGACTGCTTCCTGTTGAATCTTTAATCATTCATACATTCCTGCATTCTAGAAATTGCAGAAACAGCGTATGGAGAACTCTGATAGAAATTCCAGAATCTGTTTCAAGCCACTGCCCCAAGATAATTAAAGGTTTCATCAGTGACTGCCTAACTTTCCAAACTTTAAACAGGCAGAGCAATAGGAAAATACAGTAGGTGACATCTCAGGTCAGACACTGAATTGCAGGTGTGAAGCCTTGGGCAGAATCTGTCTCAGAGTTTTAACCTGGAATCAGGCTGGTTTTATTCTGAAAGTAGGAATTTATAAAATGCCACACCGACTGACTGACTAGGACTATGACTATGACTATGACAATGACTACAAATTGTGTGTATCTTGAACAAAACAGAACGTATCTGCAAATAAACAAACATCTTGGATGAAATGATTCACCCCATATGTTCATGTGTGTGTGCGTGTAAGAGAGTGAGAGTGACAGAGCAAGAGTACACGAGCACACGCGAGAGACAGTGTAATAAGTAATCCAAAATTGTACAAAACTAATTAAGGTAGAGAGATCATAAAAATTTATCAAGTGATGCTGTCAAAACAGGACAGTAAGGAAGCTTTTACAGATACATAAATCGGGTCACCTCTAGCGTGACACGAACCCAAGATCACAGTTGAGGCCGTCTTATGGGTACGGAATTTGGCCATCAGATTCTGCTTGGCGATTCTGCGTTGTTGGGTATCTTGAAGTCTGCCTTGGTGGATGCCTACCTGAAGATCGGAAGCTGAATGCCCTTGACCGCTGAAGTGTTTCCCGACTGGGAGGGAACACTCATGTCTAGCGATTGTTGCGCAGTGTCTATTCATCCGTTGTTGTAGTGTCTGCATGGTCTCGCCAATAACCACACCTCAGACCATCCTTGCCTGCAGCATATGAAATAGACAACACTGGCCGAGTAACACAAGTATCTGTCGTGTACATGGTGGGTGGTGCTCCCACATGTGATGTTAGCATCCATGTTGATGATCTGACATGGCAGGCTCACGTGGTGCTGTGGTCAGTGGTGTCCTGAAGGCTGGATAGTTTGCTCCAAACAATGTTCTGTTTAAGGATTAAAAATACACGACACCAGGTTATAGTCCAACAGGTTTATTTGAAAACTCTAGCTTTCAGAGTGATGCTCCTTCATCAAGTGTGGTGAGAGAGGCATCAAGATACAGAATTTATAAGTAAATGATCAAAAGATCATACAACTGATGCAAATGTATTGAATACACCTAAAATTGCTGACTGACCATCAACATAGACATCAAGTTTCTACAGAAATGCAAGAAAGCAGACAAGATCCCAAAAGGACCACAAATCACAAACCCACTCAAGTTGATCAACTGATAAAACCTTTAGTTATCTCAGGGCAGTAGCTTGAAAGAAATGCTGGGATTTGCATTTTAACCAATCGAAATCTGCATCTCCTTTCCAACAGATTAAAGATTTAAAAGGAGGGAGTCAGCCAGCCATTTTAGGTTTCTTCAACACATTTGCATCAGTTGTATGATCTTTTGATCTTTTACTTATAAAATCTGTGTCTTGATGCCTCTCTCACTACACTTGATGAAGGAGCAGCACTCAAAGCTAGTATTTTCAAATAAACCTATTGGACTATAACCTGGTGTCATGTGATTTTTGACCTTGTCCAACCCTGTCCAACACGGGCACCTCATGTTTAAGGTTTGGAGGTTGTTTGAAGGTGAGGCGGCATAGGGAAGATCTTGGCAAGATGCTCATCGTCATCGATAACGTATTGAAGGCTGCGAAGAACATGGCGTAGTTTCTCCGCTCCAGGGAAGTACTAGCTGACAAAGGATACTCTATCGGTCATTTCCTGTTTCTGTCTTCGGAGGAGGTTGTTGTGGTTTTTCGCTGTGGCACGTTGGAACTGGCGATCAATGAGTTGAGTACTGTATCCATTCTTATGAGTCATCCTTCAAAACCTTCAGGTGTCTGTCATATTCCTGATCAGAGCAGATCCTGTGTATGCGCAGGGCTTGTCCATAGGGGATGGGTTTTTTTTTAAAAACATGCTTAGGGTGGAAGCTAGAGAAGTACAGCATTGTGAGGTTATCCGTGACCTTGCGGTAGAGTGGAGATACTGAGGAGTCCACCCTTGTCCAACAACGGCACCTCCACATCACTTGTATCATAATCAACATTGCCAACATCAGCAATTTTTCAGTACAAGATATATTAATCAATTGAATTCAGCTTGTAGTAGAATTTAAACCTTTCATTCCTCTAATCTCCTGAGACTATTGGCCCAATTTAAATCAATACTGGGTACAGTGATCATTGTGAATAATATTTAAAGCTAAATAACAAAGAACAATCAAAGCAGAACTTCTCAACCTGAAGTTATTAACTTCAATGAAATAAAATGGATTTAGCCAGAGTAAAGTGGAAACAAAGACTTGAAAAGGAAAAATTGTAATAAAACAACGGATGATCTTGAAGGAGGCATTCCAGATTTAGGCGAAGTACATTCCAAAAAAGGGCAAATGATACGGCAAACTAAGTCAGGGCTCATGGACGATAAGGGAGTTAGAAATATGATGAAACGAAAGAAACAGCAATATTATGCACATCAGCTTAATTCTTCAAGTGAGAACCAGGCTAAATGCAAGAAGTTGAGAGGGGAAGATTTGAAGAGGAAAATAACACTGGCAAACAGAATATATGAAGAGCAGTTAAGATTAAAGGGAATCAAAACTCTTCTACCAGCACCAGAAGAGGAAAATAATAAGGTGAAAATTGAATAGAAGGCTGCACAGGAAAGGCTGGTTAGGGCTTGAGTGAATAAGTTACTTGGTCTGGATGGCCTGCATCTGAAGTTATGAATTCAATCAAGTTTGTTTGGCATGACTTCCCTCTGACAAAGCCACGTTGAGTCTCCCTGCTCAAACCTTTCTTCTCCAAATGGAGACTACTTTTCTTGTTCACTATTTTCTCCAATAGTTTCCCTACCACTGATCTAAGATTCACTGATCTAAGATTCACTGATCTAAGATTCA